TATCCAGGCAATGTGCATATCTCAAACCTTGTGCATTTGTGGAAGCGTGTACATTGGAACCACGAAAGTATAGGTGAACATAAGAGTACAAGAGCATACGGCAAACTGATGATGCAAAGGTATGCGAAGAAGACGTCAGCAATGGCAATAGCCACGAATTCGAGGACACCTAAATTTTGGCAACACCATTTGCGTATCATGCCGGATTTTTTAGAGAAGCCATCAAAATCCATAAACACAAAAACACTATTGGCAGAGCAGCGTAAATTCGAAAGATGAATAAACGTTAGTTATAGGTATAAACTAGATATAATATGAAAGATCACTCTGAAAGATGTCGACCACTCCGACAAAAAGTTTGGAACAAACTCATAATGAACGACGATCAGCAATCCAGAAAAACAGCAAATACAATGGAATTTGAAAGCTAAAGCAATACTCAATATATTTTTCAAACGTTTCAAGTATCATTACGGGAATATGGAAAGTATAATAAATGTGGATTGTTTAAAGATGCCGTTACAATCTGCATAATGATATACACAATCGGGTTCCTTATTATGGTAAAAAATTCATCATTACCAAGAAATAATTACCGGCTCGAGTAGAATATGTATACATGGTGACGAATCTATGTTGAAGACAGATTCATTACTCATTTGTGTTTACCTCTTTAGATATTAATATACATATAAACAATGAGTTCACTCGATACAAGTTTAGGTTTGACATCGCTACCACATTTATTGTCCCTGCTTCCCTTCCCGAGTTTCTACAAAGTTTATCAAGTGTTCAACTGGCATCACATTGACATTGCAGATTGCAAATATCAAAACATTCATGCGATAATTTTCTGTCATAACACAAATAGTATAATTAAATTACACAAAATAGTCTATGGCAAAAAACTAGACAATATTTTCAATTCATTAACATCTAGGAATTTTACCACTTCGAAATTAGCGAATCTAACTGAGCCCAGTGAGACTTGGCAACTGCATCATACTTAGAAACTGACTGCCAATAGAACTTCTTTGTTGAGCCACCTCAGATACAGCTTCAGATCATCATTATCTTTCTTCTGGGTTTCTTCTGTCTTATCGATTAATGTTTTTGGGTCTAGTTCCTCCTAAAGTACAGCAAGTATCGGTTGTCGAATTTGTTTTTCCCTTGTGGTACAGCCTCTCTCTTTCTCACATGGCTTCTGCACTACGTTTTCCGTTACTATGGATTCGTTTCGAACCTCATCAATTTTATAACGGTTACTGCTTGCTCTTCATTTGTCATTGAAGAGCTTTGACTTATTTCTGGCACCGGCCAGAAAGTAAGTAATTTTTGTGACTGAGCAATATGAATCAACATGTAGAGAGCTAATTTGATTGCTTGTGCAGTAAGACCTCCTGCTGTGTTTTGACTTTTTTGTGCAATTATTTCTGCACCGCAAGCAAAGTGCTGCTATGCGTTTTGTAATCGAAGAATAAATTTCAAATATATCAAAATTCACTGCAGCAAATTTTGGTAAATAAAACGTTTTCGTTCTAGTTCAGTGAAACTGAACTAGAACGAAACGCCTTGTTTAAGTCATGAGGGTTCCATTCCACCAGCATACTGGATCAGCAGCATTACCTGTACCTTGTACATGACGCCACTAGGAGACAGGAGTGTTGCTTTGAATTTCTGATACCCTGTTCGATACAACATTTTTCCAAGTGAGAGTAGGAGCAGCTAATAAACAAAAAAAGTTAAAGTATTATTAGTTCAAAGATAATAACTGTTGATTGAAATCCTTGTAATTCCATTATGAGCCTAGATAGTACAAGAGCTGCGTTCAATTCCAGTTTTGGCAACCGCACCGCTTTCAAAGTCCCTTTTAACAAAGTAGGAATCCTGAATGGTTGCCATAATTTTTTTCGCTAGCATCACTAAACCCTTACATTTGTAGTTCCCTGCACTCCTCAAATGATATAACCTTTCTCTGGAATGACAAATTGTTCAACAAATAATTGTTGTTGCTCCAATCTAGGCAATTCGGCATCTGATGTTGAATTGAATTCCCACAATCGTTGCATCAGCTTTGCTATGGTGACAACAGGCTATAAAAATCCTAGTTGATAAAAAATTTGTGCTATTGTCGATAAAACTGTGCGCTTCGTATAACTGGATTCTGTGCTGAAATTGATAAAATATTGCAAAGAGTCTCGCTATCAATCCAAGTGTTTTTGCTTCTTCCAGTTTGTCATTCACCATTGAATAGTTGTCCACGTCACTGTCTGGGAATATTTCCAGATGATTGAAACGTCATTTTCTCAATTGAATACATTTTAATCGAATGGTAGGTCCTTTTATTGATGTGTAATTGAGAGACACTCCAGAGCTTGTACGTGCAGAAACATCAAAAACAATTATGGGTTTCGGGGTCTTTATGAACTGCACGGTTCGGTTATTATTAACCTAAAACACCATCTTTCACCAAGTGCATATATTTCAGATTTGAATACTGAAGGCTGTATCTCTTGAATTTCCTAGTAAAGTGACATTTATCCAGTGACGTTTATGCAACACAATTTTCTATATACCAATCGCGAAAAATTGTTTTGGAAATGCAACTAACATTGGAACAAAATAGAAAGAAAAAAGTTTTCAATTGGTTACTTAACTTTTCATTACTAATAGTTAAATTACATGATATGACATCAGATATAAATGTTTCAGGAATTTTATCTGAAATAACCCAACTTATTTTTGTTATCTGTAGAGACCATTTTTGTCGGTTTCAATTTGGCATACGCATATCAAATCAAAATGTATTTCTGCACCGATAGAACTGTGAAATTCTTGATCTGCTAATTTGATATTAGAGGAAATATTCAATTTTGTCAGTACCCACACCTCGAACTTCACTGTTCAAGAACTCTTTCATTTGACGAACTGCGTTTATGTGGAATCAACTTCCTGATAACGTTTTTACAAATGGATGCAATCTCCAGCGATTCAAATCCAATGTGAATCACTACTTTCGCACAGACACCGCTCTTGGAGCGCCCTAAGGATTTTCCTGTAGTGTTTGTGTTTTGTCCTTAAAAAAAGCTGATAAGAATGAAAGATTTTCTGTAATTTATTAATATATGTAGTTTTCAATGTAGTTTTATATGAATTACAACGTGACTGAATGGAAAGTCAAACGGATTCAGTAATGTGAGCTGAATTACCACCTATACCCTCCACAACATTTTCCTTGGTTGACTTAAGCCCTAATAAAGCACACATTTCCCTTGTTAAAAAATTCCATTGTCACCCTAAATCCAGTAGAATGCGGCATGTGAATCTTGTTTTGTGGTGATCAAAAGCATTAGTGCTGTTGCCAACATAATTTATTTTCGAAACGTCTTCAAGTCGAGATGTGTGATAATTTTGTGAAAATGTCGTTTCTAAATTACTTCCTTCTCTTTCTGTGTGTGTCTGAGACTTTTGTAGTTTTGACAGAAAATCTCTCCAATGAGAGCTACAAGAATTTTCATTAACCAGTGATGAAGATGCAACGTTGCTAGTTGATTGATAGTTGGTCTCAGTAGTACCTTGCACAGTGAGAGATCGCCTGAACACCTCTTGTTAAAATTTTATTTTTTTAGCCACCCATGTCTTTCAATTCCTAACCGAAAGAAAAAATCCATCCGGAACAACTACCTACTCTCAAATATAAACATTGATTCACACGGAAATCATTTTTTCTCGTGCAGTTTTTCACACCAGCACCTTTTGGATATATTTTCGCGATGAGGTGTATTTTTCCAGTAAAATAATAAAATTGTCTATCGTGAAGTATGATTTTCGAGAAGTTGTTTTCTCTGCTGATAACCATGAGAAATGAAAGTTGAATTATTCGAAGCAGGTCTATGAATAACTTTTTAATATATAGAGATGCCTTAATTGAACAGGTGTTCATAAACATATCTTGTTTACGTTCCGAATCAAATAGAATAGAATATGTAAACATGATACCTAGTAGAAAATTATTTTTACAAAGTTACTATCTATCCGTAATATGGGATGGTTTGGCGAGTAGAGTTTTACTCAACTAACATTTTATGATATACAGGATGCATCAACGATGATGTGTGGGTGGACGATAGCAGTTTCCTCATTTGAGATGGAAAAAACATTTTAAATAATAGTTGCAGAGTGTTATAGAAGCAATGTTTTGGAAACAATCATCAATATTCAGGGTGAGCAATAAACGTATGATTCATCAATGTTGAGTTTTAAAAAATGGAATACATTATAATTTTTAATCGATTGATTTCCATCCAAAGTAGTTCTCAATAATATAAAGTTGTTTGGGTTTATACAAGTGGTTGTCAGATTTATATCAGAAATTGGATTAATTCAACAACCAATATCCGCTTATTTTCATTTCCTATTTGTAATTTTACCGAGTTGTGTTTTTTCTACACAGGGGTAATCAAAACTAACGCATCAGATGCAATTTCCCTCGTATTCAAGTGGATATTCTGAACACTTCCCTACATTTCTTCAGTAGACAAAAAAAAAATTGAAATAAACTATAAATAAATCTCTTCGATAATTGAATGTCAAGTATATTGAGAATTGGATAATCTGATTAATGAAATTTACGACCCGAGATTTTTCACAAGAGAGGTTTCAAGAATTAGGAAGCGTAAAGTACAAGAAGAACCACTTGGCATAAACCCAAAAACCTTATATTTTTGAGGACAACTTTTTTGAAGGAAATCAATGAGATGGATTAGATTAAGGAATGATTGATACACGGTCAAAACTGACAATGCTTTTGAAAGAATGTCATCTTGCAACCATGTACGTACTCAGCGGTGAGCCGATATTATTCAGTTAACATCCTATTCGCAGTAGAAAAAGTTTTGATAATGGCTATATATCCATGACTCCTCTGGTGGATTAGTTTTTCAATCTAGATTAGGCGCCAACCTTAAGATTTATAATTTTTAGAAATCTAATCTACTCACTACGTTCGGATTCATTTTGTCCTCTGGATACTGTTCCAGCCGCAATCTGCTGAGCCTTGTTGTAGTGGACAATTCCAGGCGAGATGAGAATGAAGGCGATCCCATAGAAAAAGACGGTTTTAACTGAGAAATAACCCGGAGAATCATACCAGCCTAGTATTCGGCGCAACTGGGCCGTATGGGCCAAGCCGTTGACGGCCATCAGTGCGGACCCGTATACATGGGTAAATAAGCCAGGCAAGCTTTCTCACACCGCGGCAAACACAAGTAGAAGTGTAGTGACCTTTCGACAGAGCGCTGCTTCTTGATCTTAACCATGTTATCCAAGAATATGTCTGGCGAATGCTCGAAGGCTGACCATTGTAGAGCTGAAGTGGTTATCACATTGTTTTCTGAGCATGATCTGCAACAAAATAATCTCATGAAAATTATCATCTACGTAAGTGAAACTCTTGGCCGATTACCACACATTAATAGTTGAGGTATATGATGTCGAAAAAAAATCTTGCGAAATCTTCGAGAACAGATAAGAATAATTTATCCCTACTAATGATGAGTCACTTTTTATTTTATTTACTTTCAAGATAGAGCTTCCTGAACAATACCAATTATGAGTTCTTAATGAAATCCCCGAAAAGATCATCAGAAATTTCTAAAGCGCGAATGGTTAGTTTTCGATGTTCGCCATGAAAGAAATGAAATTAGTCGCGTCTAAAATGTTTTTGACACTTTTTTTGTTATACAGGGTGTTTATTAAATATGCGGCAAAAAATTAAGGGACTATTCTACGGATATTTTGTCCTTTAATAATTTTCGTAAGGGGCTTTGTTTCGAAGATACGGGGCAAAAAAGAATTTCGACAATGACAATAACGTATCCGAAATAAAAGTATAGCGTACTACCCTGGACCTACCAAGTGATAAAAAATCTAACAAGTCATTATTTTATACTACTTCAGTGGAAGATTTGAGAAATTGGATATTTGTTGGGTGTAACGCAATCAGAAACGATCCTAGCGTTTTTGAAAGACTTCGGATAAGATTGGATTCTCCGAGCGATAGGTAGTCATTTTCAATAGTTCTTGTAGATTAAGAAACATTAAATGTAATCTTTGGTAATAAATTGTTATTGTCGAAATTCTTTTTCGCACCGTATGTTCGAAACAAAGCACCCTATCAAAAAGTCATCAAAGGACAAAATATCCTTAGAATAGTCTAAGGGATAGTCCCTTGAATTTTTGTCTTATGTTTAATAACACCCTGTATAGTAAAGAAGAAAAATCAGCCCCTTAACGTTGTCATAGAACTAGATATTATATTCGGACAAATTTACATGAAAAGGCATCATTTTAAATATATACATTACATATGTAAAATACAATATTGTGACGTCATGAATAGAAAGGAGGGTTTTGTGGTACTTTGTTTGCTGGAACTGATGTTAAATTTCAGCAAAAAGGGGTAGGTACCTCGTCATTATGCCTGGCTGAGTAGCGTGTCTGTATGAGAATTAGATAAATCTGTTAATTGCCAGACTTGATATCACCTGACATGACGCTCTTAGACTTTTTGAGGAGATTTATGAAGTCTATAGTATACGTTACACAACCGCAGACCATTTCAAAATTCATAGACAGATCAAGAGGTGCTTGCAACGAAATTTCTACAGAAGCATTTCATTATTTAAGAAATGCATTTATAAACAAACTTCAGTAGTGTCAGAAAATCACTGAGGAACATTTTGAATATTTATTGAAATGAACTGGAGGGATTTCGTTTCTCGCTGCTTTTCAGGGATTTTATTCTACCACCGTTAAAAAATAAACAAAGCTTAATAAAAAAAGAATCTGCTGAAATGAAACTGGGGAAAGGGGGAAACTGAAAAGTTCATTCCAAGAGTAATTGCGTAACATAAACCATTAAAGAGTCCAATTCGTCAGTGAATAATAGAGTTTTTCAGAAAGAAAGTATCCTATTTCAACCATCTTTCATTCAAAAAAAGACTATATCTAAATTTGAATAAAGCCGAAGGTATCCTACTCAAATAACACTGGACATGCTCGCTGATTACGATTTTGTTGTATAAATATAGAGGGATAGAAAGACAAAACGTATTTTCAGGTGATTTTAAGAATTATCCCCTATCAATTTGAACTTATCTTCACGTTCCGCAGGGCAAAATCTGCTTCCTTCTTCACAAATCAAGCTGTTGAAACATTCGATGTAGTACAAGTGTAGGTGTAGTAAAGTCTATTATTGCAATTCTGCCACTTTTCATGTCTTTCGTCAAAACGGGTGGCAAAGTAGGATTCATTTCGGGACAAGTGTATATCATAGAGCTCTTTAGAAATCGCAAAAAGGTAGACAGAAAGAAATGAAAAATGGGAAATTAAAATGGGAAGCTCATCTGAAACACGTCAGACACTCTAGTCAAAGCGGCATCAACCTCCTGAAGACTCTCTCTAACCATAGATGGGGATCATGAATATCTATCAAAAGTTGATACAGATAAATAGAAGGTACTGTCATTATTTTCATCGAAAGGAAATGAGGTCTACAGGAGTCTAAGAAACCAGCTCCAGATAATATCCTTACGGCCTTTTTTGCAACATAAATATCCTATTTGCGTTTGTACTATTTCACCAGAGAATTGTTCCTAATGAGATGAGAGAATGGACAAAAACGTAATAAGCTGATAATAGCGTCTGTTGAGAGATTATATCTTTCAATTTCCGAAGAACAAATGTGTATTTCGACAGTTTAATGCTAACTTGTTCAATGTGCTCTATCTAACTAGTTCAAATTATCATCTAGATGTATGCCTAAGAGTTTAACACTGTGTCCTTCAACCCAAGAAGTGTTTGATGTAAAAATGATGTGTTGAGTTTTATTTTCGTTCAACATTAGATTATTTCTTTTGAAATGTAACACACAACTTTTTTTTTTAATTCTGCAATTCTTCGTACATTGAAAACCAATTCATGTACATAGTTCTGCAGATCGGATCAGCAGTCACTCCATACAAAATTGAAAGCATCAACACTGTAGGCGTCTATTACCACGAAACTGGCAATATTTTCCTCATTAACGATAAATGACCGTTACTCGTCAACAATACGGGAAGCCTTCGAAAACAACAACAAAATCCTCCAATTTCTAATTAACAACCCTAATTCACGGTCATAGTACGAGTAATTTACGATATGAAATACACGGATTTCAAAGTTTATTCAACTAAAAGTCTAAAAAGTAAAAATGGAAAAATATAATTTCCTATGTTGTACCTAATGTCCTTATAGGACGAAACTGCGGTAACGTTAGTTACAAATACAAGTGGTATCAAAATATAATAAGTTTTATTTCCCAATTTCAATGATTATCTTCCAACACGTTGTAACTGACGGCTACCTCCATCAATTTACAGTCTTAGAAGTCGTTCTAAATAAAATGGTATGAAAGACACTTTGATCGTATAAGCAGTATTTCGCGGTTCGCGTCCGAAAACCTTTCGAGTTTTGGTCACCAATCATTCCGTAAAGTTACCGAACGAGGTACGAAATAACGTCACATGGTGGTTAGATTTGAGGCGCGAGTCCATGTGAGCCAATGGCCCGTAAGTTAACACCATATTTGTTCGGCTCATTGCCAGATGATAAGGTATGCTTCCAAAATCATTTTGATTGAATATAACCATGATAAATATGAAAAAAGTGGGCTGCATTATATTGTTTCCATTTCTCAACAATAACAAAGATGATGGTTCTGTGATGTTCATTCCAATCAATCAGTCGTTGCTGAGACACAGAGATATAATTTTCATCCTAGCAGTCAACGCAAATTCGTTCGATACTTCAGGTTCTATTCACCATGGTCCACTAGCCAACAACAGATCATTCAGTTAATGTCAAAATTCAAAAAGAAACCGTTGCTTCTCACCAAAATTAGCAAAAACCGTTCAATATCTCAAAATCATCAGAACTCGAAGCATTTCTAATGAAATCTATATCGGCTTTCGTCTTCAAAATCTCGTCACAACCACGCCATAAATTTCCACTTTATTATTTTTTACTTTCAATACCATGCAATATTTGACAACAGACACGGCTTGCATTATATTATGTCACTTTCTATAAAACAAAAAAGATGACGATTCTACGATGTTCATGCCAATCACAGACATGAGGACGTGTAACACGGTTAGCGCCGATGTCCACCGGTGGACACTGCCAAATTTCACACCTGGGCCACGCGGTCTGAATTGACATCCCTATAGTGCCCACAAATGTGTGCACACGGCGTTAAATGTGGCAAACCACATACGTACAAATCTGACAACAATATAACGTAAGCTTTGGCATTTAATCGTAACGATATCGTTACGATTAAATGCCAAAGAATAACTATTGTTTTCATATAATTTTGAATATCCTAGAAATTCATAAAAACTATATTTTATCGTTTCATGCATTTTCATCAACCCTGAACAATTATGCTTTTTTATGTTTTCTGTAAACAAAAATATAACTAAGTTGTAATCATATTCACATACTCCACCTTGTGTGACTTTCATAATAAAGGTGCATAATTTCGTGTTTTTTCTTCAATAAATTTGGAAGTAGTAAAAAGTTATTTTCAAAATGTGATATCTAGAAAACGATGAATTTAGGAAATGATATGCTATATCAATTTTGTTCAGAATTTCGAGCAGAATTGAAATATGGAAATATATAGGGCTTTCCCTTGAAGAAAAAGGAATTTCATTTCTTCAAGACTTGTGTCTGATCCTGTATACTAAATTTTTATTAAGTGTGATGGAATTTGAAAAACCCTAAAACATTTGTATGGTAACATTTTTTGCTAGCTATCTTACTTTAAGAGATAAATCGACCGTTTCCATACATATCAGCGACCTTGTATATTGAAAACGGCGAATATGCGCATAAAGAAATGTGAAAAAAAAGGATATAATAACAAATGACAAGGAATAACTGAGAAAAATTGATGATTGTATTATTAGATAAGAGAAAGGTTGTCGCGATTATAAGAGAATTGAGAAAGGCTGGGCAGCATAAAAAGAACGGAAAGATAGAAGAGAGGGGGAAGAACGGAAAAAGAGCGATATGAATGAGATTGCGAAGCCTGTACCAGGACGAGAAGTCGATAGGTCATTGAGGCAGACCAGGGTCAATTATGGAAAACAATAATTCTTTAAAACGTGCCATATTTATATAGCACGTTTTAAAGAAAAAGATGTAAGATCTCCGTAGACGAAGCTATGAATTTGGAAATTGACATTGATATTAATGAATTGATAAATCTTAATGATGAAAATCATATTACTACCTTTAATTCAATTATGTCTGATATATAGATTACATATAATAATTCGAAGTACCTTCATCGA